TCTAAGCTCTAGATTTAGATCTTTCATGATTATTTTTTAAATGTAGATAGATATTTGCTTGACTACAGAACCTATGGATTCATGAATCCCATCATAGACAGATTAAAACTTTAGTACATCTTATTCAAAGAATTTGGCATTAATCAGAATGTTACAGTGATAATAGTGAAGAAGAACAGAGAAAATGTAAAGCTATACAAATTGATTACTAATTAGTAATCAGTATCATAATTGATTATAATAAACCAACCACTTACTTACACCTGTTACTCCTCGTAGAGGAGCATAGGCAGCCCGCCAGCACTTCGTCTATAGCTCTTCTAGAGTTACTACCGGTCCCAAGGCCAGATAAAGGAGGAGGGTTGGGCATGAGGTCGACAACCTCATCCCGTAGAATATATATATTGACATACTGATCATCAATCAGTATATATTAGCAGTCCAACAGGATGTCAGTCATATACTGGATATTTCAATGATAATATCTCTGTTTGTAACATTCAGTGTCGTAGATATGAATCCCTTAAGGCGTATATATTCTCTTTAACTAACAGATACTCGTGCTTCATAAGTGACAATTAACAGGAACAGAGTCTCCATCCGACTACATTCAACCTGCTAATATTAAAAGTGGAACTATTTAAATATTAATGAGATTATTCGGTTTATGGTTAGGTTTGAACTTTACTTTGCTAGTTTACAATTGATTGATCACTGGGTGGTAAGCGATATCATGCATTTCGGGTGCTTCTTAGGGCAGATTGAATCTTATCGACCAAGTCGCAATGTGACCAATAGTCTAGGTGACTCGACATTATATGCACTATGTTGAGATGAGATGGTGGTTGGAGGTGCACCCGATATCGAGTCACTTAGACTAATAGCTATATTGCAACTTGGTCGATAGGATTCAATCTACACTAAGAAGAACCTGACACACATGACAATGATCACCACCCAGTGATCAATCAATCATAAATACATCTCAGCCCTACAGGAGGTCAGTGGCAGCACGGATAGACCAATAGTAGAGTCTCTGATTGTGAAGCTGGGTGACACGAGGTCAAATCCGTCAGGAAACATAAGTCCTTTGCTGAAGAGTGCCAAATAACACGAAACCTAGGTTCAGGGTTTCTTATCAACTACCTCCAACTATCATCTTACACTTCTGTACTATTAAGTTGGAAGTTTAGTCTAGGACTCATGCTTTAGTTATCTGGTATTTAATTCATTTGGTACTATGCTGACACTTTTAGGCATATGAATAAATGTGAACTGAAATGATAATGCTAATCATGAGCGGTTGTATAGTCTACTCGTATCTGTCTACGGGCGCTATCTTAACTTATTGTATTGAAAGATGAGCAGTTTTATAAACTCAAGGAAACTAGTACTTTATCACAAAGTAATGAAATGTCAGAGGTGTTTCTTTATTTTATAGTTTTTATTTATGATCAATATTCATTTTTAACCCATTTCAATAGAGAGTACACCTTTGGTTTGGGTACCCGGGCAGTATCACAGCCCTCACACATATCAAATGAGGTCTGTGAGGCGCATATGTATTTGGTGCCTCTTTGTACCAATATCTGTGTGTTAAAATAATAAAATAAATAGTCGAAATTATGAGTCAATTGAAGCTAGACCAACATAGAAAACCTGGGAGCACTGGAAGGCCATTTCGTTCTACTGTTGGACTCCTTACCAGTGCACATCCACGATCCCACCTAGCGAAATTCAAACCAATGACCTATCGTTCTCGTGCGCTAGCACTTCCATGTTTTCCATGATGATCCAGCTTCAATTGACTCACGATGTCAACTATTGAAATTACTATAATATTCACAAAAACCCTCTTCTGATAATATAAGTAGATGTTTCAGACGGGGTTTCGTGGATATTATGGTAATTTAATAGTTGAATTCAAGAGTCAATTCAACTGAAAAGTCGTGATCAGTAGAATTCAATCACGTCTGTTGTGAGGCAGTAACTCACTAAAGACAATGGTAGACGGTGGCGCAATTACGTGAATTGGTTGAAGTTAGACATTAACATCATTGGATGCCGGTCGGGTCAGTGGTCTAGATTTTAAGCGTTCACGTACAAGACCAATAGGTTTTGGATCCGAATCCCATGGGGCAGGATTGTAGATGCGCACTGTTGACGGGTCCCACATTAGGACAAGACAGTCGTCCAGTGCTCCCAGGTTTTCTATGTTAGTCTAGCTTGAATTGACTCATGAATCCAACTATTACATCCAATCATAGTTTAGAAATAACAATTAGACGATCTTGATAAAGAATTCTTTAAGCTGTTTGTTCATCTATCTTCTTATTAAGTATTGATCTATTCAATGAATTCCTTTTTATTGATATCAAAGTAAGTAAGTGTAGAAAGAAAACTGACTATGAAATAGAATGAAAGACATTGCAGACACTTGAGTAATCGAACCTTAGATTCCTTCAAATCTCAAGTTAGAAGACAGAAGACGAATGTGTGAGGGAACGTATCAAAGATGGTACAAAACTCTCAGATCTTTATAGTTGTTTTTTTATAGTAAAAATGAAATCATCATTACAATCATCCAATCTATTTACAGTAGTTTTTAATATTTGTCCAATAGGACATTCTGGAATATTCTTTCAAAAGATGATTGGATGGAATGTCTTCGGTTCTTTCAGTGCTTCTTAGAGTTTCCTTATGTTTACCTGGAGGTCATCCTCACAGTACCTGAAGTTTCAATAAGAAAATATAACATAGAAATTAATAAAATCTATAAGAACGAAATTAGTACCTCATTCATTGTATGAAATGAAAACGAATACTGTAGTGTCAGTGAACTGATTAGCATAGTGTTCATTAAGAACATTGAAGGTCCTTGATTAGATATATATCTTTGACAAGACTATTATTTATGGATGAACCAGTCATATTTCGGCGAGAAATTTATTACTCACCCATTCGGTTAAATAGCGTCTTGGCATTTTAGCTGATGTCAGTTCGTGATGAAAACCCTAAATCTAATTCCTGATCAACTGTAAATCATCATTCGAATTCCTCACCCTGGTTTATAACGTTTATCTAGTCCTACTTATTAGGTGAACATTCTCAAGGTCAGTTTAGCGTCGCTCAAAGATCGTCCATTAATTGTAGTCTCACCATATCTTTTAATATCATTAATCCATCGACTTTACGAGTAGTTAAGCGTAATGGGATGACATCCAAGTGTTTCTTTAAGTGATATCAATTTTTGATTTTGAAGCTTTATTTACATTTCACAAGAAAAATATCACATGACCACGAGCATACAGCTACTAACAGGGACGTTCTACTTACTGTGTTCTCACGGCCGAAGTGTTGTTTACGAAAAGTGAATGTCTGGCACTTTACCCGAGATGTTAGATACGGAGGATCTACCTAGGGTGCACATGGGATCCAGGATCGTAAGGAAACAAACGGTGTATGAACCTATTGTTGGTCACCGGCTACTATGAAAGTGCATCAGCGTACATTGCTCCACTGCCTTGTAGATTAACCCTAAAGGTCAAAGGCTCGATGAGTGACCTTCTCAGAAAACCAACCACTTCGGGAACCCATGCAGCATTCTAAGCATCACACAAATCGAATGATTTATGTGGCGCATATCTATTTGGTGCCTTCTTGTAACTATGTTTGTATGACCTCCAGACCACTGAGCCAGAATCCAGTAGTGTAGAAATTCTATGTCAGTCAATTCACGATGTTGTAGGACCATTGTCTTCCAATGTCTTTAGTAAATAATTAACTTCGTCACACTTGACATGGTCGAACTCTATTGGTCATGGCCTCTTAGTAGGACTCCACAAGTTGCACTTCGAGGCTAGTCACTAATGAAAACATGATTATTATGCGGGAATTTTCTCAGATTGTAGACTTTTCATAAAGTAAATCATGAAATGATCTTAGCTAGAGGGTCGTTGAGGACGCGATAGTCTAGATGACATCACTTGATGATTTTAACTAAAAGAAAATAATACAACCTGCGAAAATTCCCCGAAACAAGCAGTGTATGCACCGACGCTATTGTGATCGATTGTCAGTCATATCACCCACAGTCTCCAAACATTAGTTACGATGGTCATGCGGACCCAAACCAAGTAGTCTGCATCTACCAATATGACTCAGATCAGAAGTTAGTGACTTCAAGCACTGATACCACATTTTAGTTTGGCCACCCCTAATTTTCTTCCGACCCCTAACCCAACACTAGTCAGAATTGCGCGTCATGGCAATCGGTGTTTAAGCATACGTAACACGTGGCCCAACCATCTCAGTCGATGAAGATTCACAACCTCATCAAGTGATTTACCATCATTCCCGAATACCCTGTGCCTAACCTCACTATTACTTACCAGGTGGTCCCAGCAGATGCGAGTAATATTTATAAGACATCTTTGATCAATTACTGGTAGCTTACGAGTATACTCCACTCCTAATGGCCAGGTTTTATAGCCTTAAATTAGAATAAACCAAAACTGCTACACAGTATACTCATCCTTTTGTTGATAGACAGAAATCTCGCCTTCGCCATAGGTGACGTAATTTGGCAAAAGCCAAACGAGTTTTCTGAATCCGTGCAGAGATTTCGTCAGACATTAACACATCACTGTCATGCATCTTAACACTCAAAGTAAAGAGCAATAAATTGAAAATGACAGCTCGAAATGAAATCCTCAACGGGAAGTCTATTCCTAAATGAAACAATCGCCCCATTAATCGAATAGAATATTACGAGAGAATGCATAATACAGCATAAACAATGAACATTGATAACCAGATTCACAAACATGTAACTTATTCTTCAGAACTCTATTTGATCAGTTGCAGCAGTAGTAGTTGTTGTTGGTGTGTTTTGCCTATGGATACTGTAACTTAACATTTTCACTAAAACCTTTTTATTCACTTCAGGCAACTTATAATAATCGACTGTCAAATTGTAGTTCATTCTGAAGACTTATTAAATGGCCACTGTTTCTGGGTAAGTTTTTAAAAACATTTTTACTATATGCTGTTAAGAATTTCATGGATTGGTTGAAGTTAGACATTAACACCGTTGGATATGGATTCAGTGATCTAGAAGTTAAGCATTCGTGTGCGAGACCAATAGGTCCTGGGTTCGAATCTTGCAGTACGAGGTCGTAGATGCGCACTTCTGAGGAGTCCCACAATAGGACGAAACGGTCATCCAGTGCTTTCAGGTTTTCCATGGTGGTCTAGCTTCAATTGACTCATGATCTTAACTAATAAATTGTTGTATAATAGTGAAATGGTACACCTCGTTTTGTTAAGCAATATTTGAAGATCATTTCATCATGATGTTAAGTTATGTTGCTGATTGATACTGTACAGCTATTTAATTGTCGCTTAAGAGTCTTTCTCAGTAATGACCCAAATATCTCATACATGAATGTGCTCTGCAATTAAAACTCTCCTCTGACAAACACGATAACTCAACGAAAATGACTCCTACTTCCGTTACTGCACGATGTAGCATGATGGTCAGTAGATTACTTATCTCAAATAGTTGAACTCTAACAAGTACAATATCTTACTGTAACTATCAGGGTTTACAAAACTATCAGTGATCCTTTACATCACCCTATTATTACCAATCAAGATACCGAATAGTTGTGTTTTAATAATCTTTGAGGGAGGGTAATTAAAAATGTTCTTCATAACCGACTGACATCAGCTGATTCAAATGATTAAATAATGACTCTCAAATAAAGATGCAATCCAGTTCGCGCGTTTCGTCTTATCTAAGGCTCATCAACTGGATGTACCTGCATGTCAAAGTTGATATTCACTACAGGACTCAGACCTAGAACCATTCGCTTCAAATGACATTACATTATCCACTTAGTCAAACTTATTTTCTTAATACAATAATAATGTTATTATTATTGTTATCATTATTTCTATAGATTTGGAATAACACGTTCATTAATTCATGCATTTGATCCACATGGTAAACATTACACACCAACAATTAAACCAACAACTGGTTTTTCAGCATCAGCTGATGCTGAACGATTACATCGGGCTATGAAAGGTCCAGGTTAGTAGAAAAAAATATTATCGTATAGAATGTTATTTGAAAATTGATTGGTTGTGTGTGTGTGTGTATGAATAATCAACTTTAGTCAATATAAATGTGATATCTAGCATGGCCGAGTAGTTTTCTATTCATTTAGTGTGTCAATGCTGCATACACTTACTTACTTAATTACGCCCGTTACTCTCGATGGAGCATAGGCTGTGATCAGCATTCTCCAACCCACTGGGTCCTGAGCCTTCTTTTCTAGTTCCATCCAATTTTTCTTCATTTTACTTATGTCTATCTCCATTTCCCGGCGTAACGTGTTCGTTGGTCTTCCTATCCTCCTTTGGTCTTTAGAATTCCATGTGAGGGCTTGCCTTATGACGCAATTGGGTGCTTTCCTCCATATGTGTCCTATCCACTTCCAGCGATTCTTCCTGATTTCTTCCTCCGCTGGGATCTCGTTTGCTCTATTCCACAGTAGATTGTTGCTGATATTGTCTGGCCAACGGATCCGAATTATTTTGCGTAGACAACTGTTAATAAACACTTGTATCCTCTGCGTCATGGCTTTCGTAGTTGTCCAAGTTTCCGCCCCATCCAGTACAACTGTCTTGACATTTGTATTGAAAATTCTGACTTTGATGTTGGTTGACAGACAGTTGTTTTAAGTTTCAGATGTTCTTCAGTTGTAAATATGCTTCTCTTGCTTTGCTGATCCACGCCTTCACATCTACATCAAATCTCCCCGTGTTCATCAATGATGCTGCCCAGATATGTAAAGGACTTTACATCTTCCAAATCTTCTCCGTCAATTGTGATTGGATTGTTGTATGTTTTGTTGTATTGGAGAATCTTGCTTTTCTCTTTGTTGATGTTGAGACCTACTGCTGTTGAGACTGCTGCTACACTGAACGTTTTCTCCTACATTTCTTGTTGCGTGTGTGATAGAGGAGCCAAATCATCTGCTAAGTCTAGATCGTTCGGCTGCATCCCAACTGTTCACTATATCCCATGCTTCCCCCTAGATGTTGACTTCTTCATAATCTAGTCCATCACCCGAAGAAAGAGAAAGAGTGAGAGTAAGCAACCTTTCTTGACACCGGCCTGTCTTACGTACGACAATGATATATTAAATGAACAAAGAAAACGAAAATGCTTAAAACTGTGTTATATCACACATTTATTAAACACTTCAAAATGTCGGTTACTCTTTATTCATTCAAGTTAAATTGAATCTTGAACATTGTAGTTGTTTCATTGAATATAAATTGTTGATGTTTATCCTTGAATTTGATTGTATAGACAAACAGGATATAAATAACCAATGAGAATTTCATGATACATAGATTTTTTTAGTGTGAATGAACTAGAAAATGGACATTTCTAGGGGGGAGAAAAAGATTAGTTACTACTATTCTGTTGAAACTATCAATTACCAAGACGACAATTATAAATCGATTATAATAAACTCTACATTGATGTCTAGGTATATTATGTAACAAAGAAAAAGTATTATATAATATATTCTCACACCGTTGGATGCCATCCAGCTCAGTGGTCTAGAGGTTAGGCGTTCGCGCGCGAGACTGGTAGGTCCTGGGTTCGAATCTCGCGCATTACTGAGGAGCCTCGCAATAAGACGAAATGGCCGTCCAGTGTTTTCAGATTTTCAATAGTGGTCTAACATCAGTCGGTTCATGATCTCAGTCAAAAACTTAATAATCCCCACAACCCTATACTGATAATATTTGAGGTGTTTTTCTTGGATAATCAGAATCTCCAGCGACCCTGTTTTCCCATTATAAAGTGACAATTAGGAAAAAGTTATCTCTAATGATATTACATCTTAACTTGTCATGTGGATTTCTACAACGAACTGTAAAGTTTGAAGATGTTACGTTCTATGCTGAGGTTAACTACTTTAAATCTAGATTAAGACCTTGACGGAATAGGCTAACTGGCTTAAACTTGAGGCTAGTTTGTGTGAGTTCGAAGTGAGACCAACTGTTTAGGGTAGAGAAGAAAATACTATTCTATCACCTAATTGGCTGACAAGCATGAGAGAGAAGACAAGTCAACTGGAACACTACTGGAAGTTCGACATTGTAGCGGTAAATAAATCCCCAAAATAAATAGCCCTAAGTTTTCGACATTGGATGCTGACCATATGTTTTAGTGGACTCATCTAGCTGAAGACGCTCGGTCATGCATCCGCACCAGATCACGTGTGGTAACGCTGTGCTCAACATCAACCGCGATCGCTAGCCAGATTAGATCCGAGAATTCCGATATATTGGTCGTCGCCAAATATACTCTTCCTATCTCCTCGAAAAAATTTTTTTTTCATCAACATTAACACCGTTGAACATCGGTTCGGTGGTCTAGAGGTTAAGCATGCGCGTGCGAGACTGATGGGTCCTGGGTTCGAACCACGCGGGACGGGGTCGTCGGTGCTCATTATTGAGGAGTCTCATACTAAGACGAAACGGCCATCCAGTATTTCCAAGTTTTCCAATTAACTATTCAACTTTAATATTACACTCTCAAATCGTTAAGACTTCACTTAGACTAGTTCTCATCTTAGATACTTCAAAAATAGTATCTATTCATGTTGTGGGTAACAGAGGAGTGGTAAGCAATCAGATATCATGATTTCTTCTACATTTGTAATCGAATCCCTACTTTTCACTGATTATACACTTGCTATTAGTGAAGAATATACAATTGGTCATTTATCTAACACATCTTAACTGTCATATCTCTTTCCTTATTACTCAAATTACTGCTGGAGACTTGAGGGGGGGGGGAAAGAATTGTTAAGACAGTTCTGAAATTTCTCATCCCGAATTTGTTTGACTTAACAATGTAATTTAGTTTTATCAAACAATGATCGAGGACAGTATAGTTTACAGATGAGATTAGAACAACAGTGAATCGATTGCTATTCAGGGTTAAGTATTTAAAGTAGGGATAAGACATTTAAGGTTAGAGTTTTCATCATGAACTGACACCAGCATTCATGTAGAGATACTCTCTCTTCATATAGGTGAATAACCTTCGTGCAAACATTCTAGATCACTATCTGATTAGTTAATCCATAAAGTATAGTGATATGGAGTCAAGGCTTGTTTTTTCCAAGGATTCAGTGTTTAAGGTCAAAACTGAAGGATAGTTGTATCAATTATGTATTAACTATAGAGACGGAATTAAGGATTTAACACTATCAGTTTAGTCCATTGTGATAAAACGCAACTGTTCTTTCATATTTCAAATGGTTTATGCAATACACAAAGATATTTCTACTGGTCATTATTCCTGTTATTTGAATTCCCCATTGAAGCTTTAAAGTTCATCGCTAGGCCATACCTTCACACGTAATCAGCAGTGAGCGTCCATGATCTCGCACGTGGGATTCGAACCCAGGATCTTCGTTTTTGCACGCGATTGCACAATCGTGGACGCTCACTTCTGAGGAGTGCCATACTAGAACGAAACGACCGTTCAATGCTTCCAGGTTTTCAATAGTGGTCTAGCTTAGATTGACTCGTGAATTCAACTGCTATATATGTATGTGTTTTTCATCTATCCGGTTATTGGTTGTCAGTGATATATACACTTTTTGTAAAATTCAACTCACTCATTCTGTATTCACGTATTTTGGCTAATTGCTAATACAGCTGAATTCATTGCTCTTACATTGGTCGTCTGCAATTTGACCGTTTCGTCCTAGTATGGGACTCCTCAGCAGTGAGCGTCCACGATCCCGCCCTCTGGACTCGAACCAAAGACCTTCAGTCTCATACGCTAATATTTAATCTCCAGACCACTAAACCGGTATCCAACGATGTTAATATATATTTAAACCTTTTTATTTGTATTTGATTCAACCCAGGTAGCATTAATATAAGAAGCGATTATTGACTACAATTTCATGTACCATGTAATTTGTCTGGTTTGCCTCATGATATCAACTAGACTGTGTTAAAATCTGATCACTATAAATAGATCTCAGAATGTTATTGATTTGAACAATGACTAAATGTAGAATTTAGGATAAAAGGCTTTTTCCTATATCAGCTTCAACTATCGGATATACTTTCTTCTCAAAGTTGATATTTCTGAAATTCTTAAGAAACACAAAAGACATTTATATGACTCATTAAATAAATAGATACTGATCTAACTTAGATAACTACTAACAACTTGTAAGCACTTAACAGCTGTTTCATCATAGTGTATGACTCTTCAGCAGTGTACATCCATAAACTCGTATGCGGTAATGGTGCCCAGAACCTTCGGTCTCGCTTGTGAACTCTTAATTCATGATTTCGATGTAACTAACCACAATTTATTTATCTAAACACATGGACATTGGTACAAGGGGGCACCGAATACATATGCACCACACATATCATTCGATTTGTGTGTGGGCTATAGTACTGCCCAAGTCCCAAAACCGAAGCACATCACTTTCTCAAGGGGCTACACTCAGAGCCTTCGATCTAATGGTGTGATCCACAAAGCACTGGAACAACGTCAGGAGATACAGTCCCATGGTAGTTGCTAACCAACAATTGGTTCATACTCCATTTGTTCCCTCATGATCCTGTACTCCATGTGCACCATTGATTTGGAATGAGAGTTTTTCAACTTCCGCATGTAGACTCTCCGTATCCACCAATTCAGTTAAAGCGTTGGACATTCGGTTTTCGTCCTCTCAATTTCGTAAGCAACACCCATGGTGCAGGAAGGTAGTGAGTGGGACTTCTCTGACAGTGGTTGTATACGCGTGGTCGTATGAGAGCATTTGGATGTGGAGAGGGGACTCTCCCCACTCTCGACCGTACTAGAGCATTGGGAGGGGGGCAACTAACTACAATAGGTAACAAGTTACAATCTTGACATTCATCACAACATTTATTGATAAGAGTATACAGTCATCTATAATGAATGACAATTAACCATAATAAATTCATAGTCAGTCAGTCAGTCATTCAGCTACAACGTAGGACCAGGTACATATACGCATCGGTCCAAGTTGGCATACCTCATTAACACAACAAGATGAACATCAAATTGATAGAATTAGTTACCTAAGTGGTAGTAATATATAGAAAAAAGATTGTGTATAAGGATATAGTACAGGAAGAAAGAAGTAGTTCATGGAAAGAAAGATATGTAGTGATTTTATTCTCATAGTTTAAGGGAAGACAGAGAGTAAATACACCGACGCCATTGTGATGGATTCTGAGCCATGTCACTAAGAGTCTCCAACCATTGGTTACGATAGTCACGCGGACCCCAACCAAGTAGTCTACATCTACCAACATGGCTCAGACTAGAAGTTAGTGTCTTCAAGCACTGATGCCACGTTTTGGTTTGGCTGCCCCTAAGTTTCTTCCAACCATCCCGAACACCGGTTAGGATTGTAGGCAATAAATAATTCATTAGGCTTTTGAAATATTTATCATATTGTTGAGTAATTAAAATACATTGAAATTACAATCTTCAGTATCTTGGCAACTTGGTTATTTAACCAAATAACCAGTCTACTTTAATTAATTAACTAGTTACCATAGTGAATAGACCATATTTATTTATACTCTTTACTTATTACCAGTTCTTACTTGCATTATTAACTGGTCTCTCTCTCCTCCCTCTCTCTCTCGGTCTCTCTCTCTCTCTGTGTTTCATAAAGTTATGTATTGCAAGATCATCAATAAAATCACATTCTTGAAAAGTCTCTATTGGCATGAAGTTTCAAATGTAGAACTATATAGTAATCCATCTATGTATGATTCTATAGAAGATACCTATTTCTAAGTTAAAAGTTACTCAGAGTTGATCATGAAAAGAATCTGTTATATTCTTATGACCTATTGAAATAGCATGTGATAAGATTGTTAATTATAACACAATGATTGATTGAATGAACAGACCAAATATTATATAATAAACCAGTACGAACAGACTAGATTCAATTCTGAGCTCTTATTGATCTTTAAAGATGAGTAACTTCTTGTTTAATCAAGTCAGTTGAATCCAGAACACTTAGATTAGCCTTTGTTATAAGAATCATAGATTTCAAATATATGAAGTTTATATTTAAGCAAAATAGTAAATGACAATTATACAAGATCAAATCAAAAGTGGCTGTGATTGTGAGAGACTGTTACTAATGAATTAAGAATAAGTTAAGAATGGTAAATCGTATCATAATAGTCAATCAATCAAATGGAAGCTTATGATAAGAGAAATATGAATATACATGTAATATAGTTACGTAATAGTTATAGCCCCTAAATGCTCTGGTACAGGCGAGGGTGGGGAGAGTCCCCTCTCCACATCCAAATGCTCTCATATGACCACGCGTATACAACCACTGTCAGAGAAGTCCCACTCACTACTTCTTGAAACATGGGTGTTGCTTACGAAATTGAGAGGACGAAAAGCGAATGTCCAACGCTTCAACCGTGCTAGTGCACATGGAGGATCCGAGTATGGGAGTTGGAAAACCCTCATTTCAAATCAGTAGTGCACATGGAGTACAGGATCATGAGGGAACAAATGGAGTATGAACCAATTGTTGGTTAGCAACTACCATGGGACTGTATCTCCTGACGTTGTTCCAGTGCTTTGTGGATCACACCATTAGATCGAAGGCTCTGAGTGTAGCCCCTTGAGAAAGTGATGTGCTTCGGTTTGGGGACTTGGGCAGTACCATAGCCCACACACAAATCGAATGATATGTGTGGTGCATATGTATTCGGTGCCCTCTTGTACCAATATTAATGTGTCCAAATAAATAAATAAATTATAAATAGTTGTATAATAATTATATATATAATAAAAGTCCACAAATAAATCCTAACGGTTACTATTTACTTCTTCATTATCTGGATATAACAGAACCATTTTGACCAATCATTGCATATGAATAAATGATACAGGAAGACAACTCATTCTAATGTTAGTTACTGTGTAGAACATGATTTGCGAAAAAATTTACCGCCTTTTAGCTTTTCGATAGCTTAGATAATAAGTCAGTTGAAGCTAAAACACCGTGGAAAACCTGAAGGCATTAAATGGCCGTTTCGTCTTATTGTAGGACTCCTCATCACTGTGCACCCACTGTCCCGCCTCTCGAGATTCGAACCCAGGATCCATTAGTCTCGAGAGCGAACGCCTAAACTATAGACCACTGAGCTGGCCGGCAGTCAACTGTATTAATGTCTAACCTCAACCAATTTACGAAATCGACTGACACATCTTCCATTGTCATCAGTGAGTTACTATCTCACAACAGACCTGCTTCTCACTAGAACCCCAGGATATACCTCTTGAAGCCAGTCATCTATTATCGTCATGAACTTATTACACTATTCTCAGATAAACGTCACAAAACTTTATTGTGTTTAATTTTCGAAATCTATGTTTACAAACATCATGAAGGCCAAACAGAAATAATATGCAATAAATCATTTATGGCTCGTTGAAAGACCTAATTTTTAGGGAATCCAGGACGCTAATTTCGCCCCATTTGGGGCGCCCATTTCTAACCACCATCTAGCCTTATCTATGATGCTTGTGACTATGTAGTAAAATCGAGGCAATCCGTACAGGATACACACATGCCAACAAGAGACTGATCAACTGGAATCCTAAACAATATTAGGAAGTGGGTGGTTATTTAGACTCGGTTGTTAAGAGGATAGCACGATGTCGTTTGAAATAAACGGCAACGGACTTAAGTTGTGGAGTGAACATCAATTGTTTATCCAATTGGATTTTATTTACTTGAAGAGGTGCAGCTGACTCTAATTCTAGTTCTCTGATATTCCACTAATTACTCTTTTACTTTAGCTACTATTCATGACGAAGGATTAGCTACTTATAAGTAGCTAAAATGTTTTAACGTAATTTTTTGCAGTTTGATGTTATTTACTACAACAATGAAGACATGAAAATAAACTTCATTTCAAAATAATTTAATAGTTTGATCATTAATATCAGAAGGTATTTTGTGGATATTATAGTAATTTCAATAGTTCAGATCATTAGTTAATTGAAGCTAGACCACCATGGAAAACCTAGAAGTACTGGACGACCGTTTCGTCCAACTACGGAGCTCTTCAGCAGTGCATATCCATGATCCTGCATCGCAAGATTCCAACCCAGGATCTATCGGTGCCGCGCTCAAGCGCTTAAACTCTAGACCATTGAGCCAACATTCAGAGTTGTTTGTATCTAACTTCAACGAATCCACGAATTTAGCAACATATCCACCATTGTCATCATTGAGTTACTATCTCACAAAATACCCGGTTGGACTGCACTGGTCACTGCTTCTCAATAGAACTCCAGGAAACACCTTTTGATGACATCATTATTAGCCTTTTCTCAGAAAAAAACGTCAGGATAATTGTCAGTATTCAACTTGATTTCATAGCTCTGAATTAAGCCTTAAGATTGTGAAGCAGATTTGTATCTCATGTTGGTGTTTTTAGAGGTGATAGGTATACTGAGCTCAATAGTTTAATAGTCACGCCTTTACTATTTTTATAGAAGCTATTTTTAACAGTAAAAAATTTCTAGATAGAGGTAAGCTATTCCGATTTTCAAACAAGTGACCTGTATTTTATTTTGTATACCTTGGTTTTCATTGTTTGTTGTTGCCCCTTGTAGTGACATTATCTACTTCTTCATTTCCAGTTTAACTGTTTCGGGTATGCTGAAGGCACCTACCAAAAATATTAGATGGTCGCACATTATCGTGAACTGATTGGAAATAGGTTTGTATACAACTAGACCTTGACTTAGTAGTTCATACGTTAAGCGTTCGAACACAAGACTAAGTGCCCTGGGTTCGATTCTCGATGGCGGAGTGGTGGTTGGGCTTTGCTAAGGAGTTCTATACTATCACAGAACATTTATCCAGTGCCACTAGGTTTCTAATAGTTGTCTCGTTCTCTAAACCATCTGGTTTAATCGTGAAGATTTCAATGTTCTCCTGAACAACATCACTACCACAAACTTCAAGTAGACGTGGGGTATTCAAATTCCATAAAATATGATTGACTGCATGTCTTGACGACCTTAATCTCGATTTACTGTCATCGAACTCTAACCTGTTGTTGTCTGTAATTGTTCAGAAGAACAATGAAGATCTAACAACTGAAAACTACATCTTAGACTACGAAACTCCGCTAAAAGCTTACTCATTTTCAAGCTACCGAACTAGTTATACATATTAGTTTGTTTTTAATTAATACACTTCAATATTCTATTTCTATTTTAAGGCACAGATGAAACAGCAATTATCAACATATTGGCACGTAGAACAAATTATGAACGTCAAGAATTATGTCGATCATACAAAAGTTTATATAAACATGTAAGTAATAAGTAAGTAAGTAGCGAAATAAATATAAAATCAAGATGATAACTGATACTGCACTCATATAATACTTATCAAAACTGGATCAATGTTTTATGCTGTTGAAGTAGGCTGGAATTATGTTAGGAGCGGCCAGATCAAAACATGGAACAAATCCATGAAGTCACTGATAAGTGGACTGAGCCATGTTGGTAAGTGTAGACTAATCACCTGGTTGGGATCCGCGAAACGATAGCAATCGATGGTTAGAGATCTTGAATGTGACATGGCTCAAAATCGTTTGCAATGGCGCAAGTTCATCCACTCTTTGTGTTCACCCAAATTCTAATCTTCTCAATTCTTCATGTCCTCTATTTTTTTTCTCTTTTCAACTTTATTACACTGGATAATACTCCTTGAATAACATCTCCAAACCCTAATGTTTCCGATTATTGCTTATACTTTTACTACCTCCACTACAAGTGCATTTGATTTGACAATTGTGTCTGTGTACTAATGTGGTATGGCAACTCGAACTGATGTACGTACGTACGAAGTTTTACGCTGTTAACTGACTGACTGACTATCAAAACTGGCTACAACAACTAAAGAGAGAAGGCATGTTTGTGTACGTGGGCTTACTAAAACTACTAAATTCAAATTATAGAAGATTTGATATTAACTTGACTGAATAAACCATATAAAAGGAAATGTATTCAGATATCAGGTTGATTTAGTTCTAGGATCAAGCAAATTCTGAGTATCAGTATTTGTGCTCTCATTTTGATGTGTGCTACCAATGTCAAAGAGAACATGAATGAGGACAGAAAGTGATTGGTGTGGAAACGAAAGAACATTCAAATCTGAGATAACCGATGGATATTTACTGTATGGTTCAGAAATTTGATTGTTATCTACGATTGTATGTTCGTTTCTTCGGAACTTTATGGTATTTGTTATATGAATGATTGCAGACGTACGTTAGTCTGGGAAAATGTTTAACTCACATTGAGAAGCAACTTAAAGAAGAATAGATCAGTTCTCGAAGCTTAGCATTTATTTCATTCGATGATCAATATTCTTCGTTCAAATTAACCATACTTAGCAGACTGTTATGTCTTGAAACCGCTGTCCAATATCACGTGTTATTTCCTCGATAGCTTAGTGCTCTTGACTTAACTGATTACACCTCAACCAGTCCTAGTGACCATAAGCTGATATCTAAGTTCTTATTAGTTCACTAATCGTTAGATTTTTCCTGTATCCAGCCTTGAGTCCAGAATCAGTAATCAGTCCCAACGAATATTAGATATCAAGCAAAGGTAGTATATATGCAGATATATCAGGAAATATCACACCAGAAAATGAAAAATCGAAGTGGAAGTGCAGTGAATAAGAACACAGATGAGAATAACCGACTACAGAGTTACATGATCAAATAGAAAAACCATACTGCAATATTACATTTACAACATGTTCATTAATTGTCTTAATTTCAATGTGCTTGTTGATTGACGATTGACCTGAGTACCAAACTTCTGAAAATTCTTCGATGTTTTTAGAATTATCAATTTAGGGGTTTTGGAGATTGTTAGGTTTTTGATTGAGATCATGAATCGATTGATGTTAGACCACCATAGAAAACCTGGAAGCACTGGATAGCCGTTTCGTCCGATTGTAGGACTCCTCAGCAGTACGCATCCACGATCCCCCTCGCGGGATTCCAACCCAGGGCCTTCAGTCTCGCGCGCGAACGTTTAACCTACTGAACCACTGAGCCGGCATACAATGGTGTTAATGTCTCAAATCAACCAATCAACGAGATTGCGCGACCATCTTCCATTTTTGGAATTGCCTATAATCAAAATTTCCAGATTTTCTTAGTTGAATATGTGTCCTCACCAAATGTCTACTTGCAATTTTGCACATGTGGAGAAATTCGAACACTTCACTCCTATCTGAAGTTTGTGCTGATGATATCGTTCAGAAAAACGATGAAAGCTCTATGGCTAAATCATCCAGCTCAGAGAACAAAACATCATCTCATAGTTGATCTGTCTGAAATTTACACTGAGGATGTTGTTTAGTTGTACAAATAACTATTAACATATTGTAATCAATGAGAACACAAGTGGGGATAACGAAGATGTAAAACAGTTAGTCCCTTTGATAAATTTTGATAGTTTAATAAGAAGACAAAGATCATTACAAACTATGTGATGATATATTATCGCAATATATTTCGAACAATTTGATTACAATGACCAGCGAAGTTCTACCAGGTCTGTTGTGAGATAGTAACTCACTGATGACAAAGTTGAATGTATCACTCGATTTCATGGATTAGTTGAAGTTAGATATTAACATTATTGGATGCTGTCCAGCTCAGTGGTCTAGAGTTTAGGCGTTCGCTCGCGAGACTAATAGATTCTGGGTTGGAATCTCTCGATGCGGAATCGTGGATGTACACTGCTAAGGAGTCCCATAGTGGGACGAAAACGCCGTCCAGTACTTCCAGGTTGTCCATGGTGATCTAGCTTCAATTAGCTCATGAATTTAAATATTATAATATTTACAAAACCCCTTTCTAGTTATTTTCTATTCTACGATTTTTCGAAAAAGGATCTAAAAGACGATTTGAAATCGGAGACTAGTGGAGACTTTCGTAAAGTTTTATGTCAGCTAGTTGTTGATACACCTTATATGTTGGCTAAATCATTATATTATGCAATGAAAGGCTTAGGAACAAATGATCGTGTACTTATTGAAATATTTACCACATTATGGAATGATGAAACAAGAGCTGTAGCTGATGCTTATAAACAAGGTAAGTTATGTTTAAAAAAACGTTTTAAGAGATACATTGTTTGAATACTATTTCCTATATACCTAATTGGGGGGGGGTTTGTAGGGAGTAGTTTGATTCATCTGGATAAATTGAATTAAGTTCTACAAATTTAAGTGCTTTTGTGTACCTATTTGTGTGTGTGTGTGTATGATTAATACTTCATGGTTGACATGTGGTGTGTGTTACTGATATCGACAGATAGAAGTAGTATGTATGATCATCAAATGGAAGTGAAATGCCTGGCGGTAGAAGTTTAAGAAGATCGAAACGAATGAGAACGTGAACAAAGAATGATTGGTATGGAAACGAAAGAACAATCAAGTCTGAGACGATTGATTGATACTTTACAAATGAAGTATTTACTGTATGGTTATCAAATTTTACTAAGATATTTTGTAATGGTGTATTCAAATACATTCAATTGTTGCCAATAGTGATCTTCACTACAGCCCAAACATCTAAAGAAATTTCTCCTTGAAGGATCTAAATAAAAAGTTCAATTATTAAGCTACTATCTTGTTGATCTGCAAGTGTGACAGCAAGCCTGACTATCATATTAGGTCAATCATGTCTGTCCAGTTTAAAAACGACGAGGTGGAAAATTAGTCACTTACTGGTTACTTGGAGACACATGAATTCTTAATAGTTTTCTAAGAAATTATAAATAAGTAAAGATAGATAATCGCTAGCAGTACGATCCAGAACGCACGTTTCCTTCTATTCGGGACTCCTCATCTAGATGTACCAGCATCGTAGAGTTGGCGTTTACTCCGGGCTTCGAACCCCGTTCGCTTCGAACTTCATCGCCTTATCCACTTAGCTTATCCACCTGAAGGGGACGGTACTGCGTTCGAGTGTCAGAGTGAACATCAACTATGGAATGCAGGTACATCCAGATGACAAGTCCCAAATAAAACGAAATGCGTATCCTGAATTCCACTACTAGCCACAATCCATCCCTGCTTACAATATTTGTGAATAAATACAATATTGAGGCAATCCGTACAGTATGCACATATTCCAATAAGAAACTGATAAATAGCCGTACTAAGCATCAATGGAAAGATTCAGACAAACAACACAAAATGAAAGTGGAATTGTAAATGTTAAAGTTCGTCATTACAATCATCCAATCCCCGTGCAGTGGTTTTTACCATTCGTCCAATAGGGAAACTACACGTTAAGATTCTGGAGTATTCTTCCCAAAGATGATTGCATGGATTATCTTCGATTCTTTCAGTGCTTCTTAGAACTTCCCTGAGTTTACACAGGGGTCATCCTTATAATTACATAATTTTCATTTATTTTATTCTAATTATATCTGCGCGGCAGTCCGTTCTGTCTTAATTTACGGCAGCGAAACATCGCCTTTAAGAGTAGAAGACACACGTAAGCTACTAGTATTTGACCACAGATGCCTTAGAAATATTGCTGGCATCTGCTGGGATCACCGGGTAAGTAATAGTGAGGTTAGACGTAGGGTATTAGGGAATGATGGTAAATCAGTTGATGAAGTTGTGAATCTTCATTGATTGAGATGGTTGGGCCACGTGTCTTGTATACCTGAACACCGATTACCACGACGTGCAATGCAAACCGGTGTTGGAGATGGTTGGAAGAAAGTTAGGGGCGGCCAAATCAAAACGTGGTATCAGTGCTTGAAGTCATTAACTTCTAGTCTGAGCCATGTTGGTAGATGCAGACTACTTAGTTGGGGTCCGCGTGACATTCGTAACTAATGTTTGGAGACTCTTGGTGACATGGCTCAGAATCGATCGCAATGGCGTAGGTGTATACACTCTCTATCTTCCCTTAAACTATGAGATTAAAATCACTTCATATCTTTCTTTCTACTAACTAATTCTTTCTTTCTGTACTATATCCTTATATGCAGTCTTTCTCCTATATATTACCACCTTTGACCTAACCATTGCTATGAATCCGGTGTTCATCTTGCTGTGCTAATGAGGTATGGCAACCTGGACCGATGCACATATGTGCCTGGTCCTACGTTGTAGCTGACTGACTGAATTATATCTCCTATGTTTAGTGTTTCAATTCGTTGGATAGTAATTTTCTCATGTTTACTGTCTAACTTGTCAATTTTCTCTTAATTTTCTTGATTGAGATCATGAAGTAAAGCCGTGATCAGTGGAACTAATCCGTGTCCGGTAGAGACAGGTATCTACCTCAGTACAATCGAAGATGGTCGCGCAATCTCGTGAATTGGTTGATGTTTGACACTAACACCATTGGATGCCGACTCAGTGCTTCAGTAGGTTAAGCGTTCACGCGTGAAACTAAAATCCCTGGGTTGGAATCCCGCGAGCGGGATCGTGGATACGTACTGTTGAGGAGTCCCATAATAGAACGAAACGGCCGTCCGGTGCTTCCAGATTTTCCATGGTGGTCTAACATCAGTCGATTCATGATCTCAATCAAAAACTTAATAATCTCCATAACAATATACTGATAATTTTCTCTTACACTGTTCTGAATTGGAATATGGTAACTTCATTTGAAACTTATTCAAATCAAACTTGAATCAGCTTCCAATTCATATTTCTAATCTCAATCAGCTGATGAAAGATTGTACACTTGTGTTGAAATTGACGTTTATCAATTCACTCTTATCTAGATATCTAAGTTCTGTTAGTTTAAATGTTAGTTCTTCATGATATACGTCTAGTTCTAAATAAACTCTTGTTTATCTTTTTCATTCTTAGTACTCAAAGACAAAGGAATTGAAGGTAAGTTATGTTTGTTACATTTATCATCTATTGATATGTTAACTGTAATAGTTTCACTATGGAATTTACAATTGAATTGATAATATCATGAGTCAATTGAAGTTGCAACGGCATCCAACGGTGTTAATGTCTAACTTCAACCAATCCACGAAGTTGCGCCAACGTACACTATTGTCTTCAGTGAGTTGATATCTCACAACAGACCTGGTTGAACTCCACTGGTAACGGCTTCTCACTAGAACTCCAGGATATACCTCTTTGAAGCCAGTCACTAGTGAGCATATGTTGATTAGTATCAGAAGGGGTTTTGCGGTGATTGTAGTAATGTCATTAGTTGAGATTACGAGTCAATTGAAGCTAGATCACCATGGAAAACCTGGAAGCATTGGACGGCCGTTTCGTCTTATTGTGGGACTTCCCAGTAATGCTAATCCACGACCCCGAATTGATACTATTGTCTTTTGTAAAACTAGTAGTTGTTACCTTACTATTTGAAATAGTACATGATCATATATTAGGTTGTTCATTCTTTGGTTGACACGTTTAAGTACAACTTGTAATAGTAATGTTTACATTGATCAGCCATTAAAGCAGTAGCAACCAATGTCATATCTGTCTAGTCTTTAGCGTTGACTCTATTCTATCGAACATGTTGTACTGTGACTACTAGTCGAAATGACTTTCACCATGTCTAGATATTCGATAGTTAAATATAGCCCGCAGGAAGCCATACTGGACATAGGTTGGCATTATTCAGCGTAATGTACTTGAACTTTCACATCCCATTGCTAGACTGGTACAAGTAGAGAATAAAAATGTTTTCTTTTTCTGTTTCCCGCGATGTATTTTTAATATTCAGTGGTACAACCGGTGATCAAGATGATATTATGACTAGACTAGACTAGACTAGACGACCAATGTAGCAGCAAACTCAGCAGCAGTAGGTATCAACATCAACAAAGAGAAAAGCAAGATTCTCCGATACAACAAAACATACAACAATCCAATCACAATCGACGGAGAAGATTTGGAAGATGTAAAGTCCTTTACATATTTGAACAGCATCATTGATGAACACGGGGAGATTTGATGTAGATGTGAAAGCGCGGATCAGCAAAGCAAGAGAAGCATATTTACAACTGAAGAACATCTGAAACTCAAAACAACTGTCTGTCAACCAACATCAAAGTCAGAATTTTCAATACAAATGTCAAGACAGTTGTACTGAATGGGGCGGAAACTTGGACAACTACGAAAGCCATCACGCAGAGGATACAAGTGTTTATTAACAGTTGTCTACGCAAAATACTTCGGATCCGTTGGCCAGACACTATCAGTAACAATCCACTGTGGGATAGAGCAAACGAGATCCCAGCGGAGGAAGCAATCAGGAAGAATCGCTGGAAGTGGACAGGATATATATTAAAGAAGGCACCCAACTGGCTCACAATGGAAGCCCTCACTTGGAATCCTGAAGGCCAAAGGAGAATCGGAAGACCAAAGAACACATTACGTTGAGAATTGAAAACGGACATGAGAAAAATGAGCAAAATTGGATAGAACTGGAAAGGAAGGCCCAGGACAGAGTGGGTTAGAGAATGTTGGTCGGCAGTCTACGCTCCATTGTGAATAACAGGCGTAAGTAAGTAAGACTGGATACTTGATTGATAGGCTATGCACAGACCAGGCTCGTATTATACCAGACACATAATTTACAACCAAATATAGAGAACCAGAATATTGGCAATATAATAACTTACTTAACATAAATGTAAGTAGTCTATACTCAATAAGTCCAGAATACAAATCAATAATGAGTAGTAAGCTGTTCCCGTCAATTCACACTAAGTAATCAATCATGTGTTACTCTTTTAAGTCACATATCATAGACATTCATATCCTTTTTGTATCTATTACATTATGTTAGCAATACATGGTCAGCATAACATGCATGTTCATTACTTCCCAACTTACGTACCAACAACCGAGTCTTTCACATGTCATCTTGTTTACAGAATTCTATTCTAAATGTATCTTCCAAACGTTTGAGCCACATGAGAAAAGTATTTCCACTTTTAGGGTAATAGATGAATTCTAAGATGCTGCTAGCAAATACATCACAAGACGTACTTGAATTAGCATATGTACACAAGCAGTGAATGTTAAGCTGTTGAGTTAAAAGTGTCCGACAACCGCAACAAGTTTTGCTTGCAGTTGTTTTAGTATTTGGTTGGGCTGGTCATCTGATATGAATATCTTGAATTCGGTTTCCTTTTGCCTTGTCACCACTGTCATAATTCTCTCTTATTACAAACCAAGCTATTCTTACTGCTTAATATTCTTGGACTCCAATTCACTCGACAAGTCCCCAAATCAGAACATGGTTAAACAGGAATAACAAGGGGTAGATGGAAGTAAGAAGCACTATAGGAGAAACGTTAGTATATTGATAGTTTTTTTATATGAGAAGATTCTAAAGTGTTCTTCAAGGATCGACTAACATTGATTGGATAAGAATTAGCCAATCAGCGTGCATCAACATCATTGTACATTGAGCATACTTTATTTCCAATCTATATCCGGTTCATACATAAACAAAAGATTATCCTCTAGTTTTTGTTTTCTGTTTTACATTTGAATATCTTTCAATAAACAAACAAAAGAATCAGAACGTTCATTAGTTACTGATATGAAAAAAGAAATAGGTGGTGATTATGAATATGCATTAATGTGTTTAGTTCAAGCTGAACGTGATGAGATACCAGTATTACAATTGAAAGCAATACCTGAAAAAGGTATCAATTCAATCATTAATCATGAATTAGCTGAAGCTGATGCTAAAGATCTATATGCTTCAGGAGTTGGGTAAGTTATTATTATATTTATATGATGATTTGAGACGATTTTAAATACAAACATACTTATAGATAATGTGAGGATAACCCACGGATGAAAATGAGGAAGTTCTAAGAAGTTCAGAAAGAGCTGAAGATGCTCCATCCAATCATTTTTTGGAAGAATATTTCAGAATCTCTAAGTGTAGCTTCCCTATTGGACAAATGCTTATAATATTAGAAGGGGTTTTGTGGATATTATAGTAATTTTAATAGTTGAGATCATGAGTAAATTGAAGCTAGACCATTATGAAAAGCCGTTACGTCCTATTGTCGGACTCCTCAACAGTGCGTATACACGATCCCGCCTCGCAGGATCTATCAGTCTCGCGCGCGAACGCCTAAACTCTAGACCACTGAGTCGGCATTGGATAGTGTTAATATCTAACATCAACTAATCCACGAAATTGAGCCACACATCCACATCCTGGAATTTTAGTGCGAAGCAGTGACTATTGGAGTTCAACCAGGTCTGTTGTGAGATAGTAAATCACTGATGATAATGGTGAATGTGTCACTGGATTTCGTGGATTAGTTGAAGTTAGATATCAACACCATTGGATGCCGGCCAGCTCAGTGGTCTACAGTTTAGGCGTTAGCGCGGGAGACTGCAAGATCCTGGGTTTAGATTGAATTTATAATCTCATTTAACTCATTTTAACCGTGATTACATCATCTACCAGTTTTAGGAGCGGGTACTATGTCAAACCTACATAGTTTATTCTAGCTTACGGACAAGCTAGTTTATCCATTCTAATCAAGCTACATTTTGTATATGTTAATTATTGGCTTATCAACCTTAACTGTTTTTATATGAGCGCATATATGTGTGCCCTTCTTATCTTATTTACTATATATCTGTAACTTATTTTTGTGTGACTATAAATATTGATTAACTTTTGGAGTTGGTTCACACGCCTTCGCCAACCTGCTTCGTTCTTCCATCTTTGTTTCATCGCCTTGATTGCCTGTTCAAATCAAGAATATGTCCATGAAATATATGCATTCAAAATCTTTTCTCGTATTTGGCTTATTTAATTCCGTTATTCGCTAACGCGGATTAAGTCGATAATCCTATACGAGAATTAGCGATATATATGTATATTTCGACAGCAATCATTCACACGATCTAAATAATGACAGATCCTGGGTCACAAAAAACATAAACATGAACCAAAACAAAGAAGTAAACAATGACGGGTTCAAGGTTAACAAGAACTAATCTAATATCGAGGTGTACAGAACACACTGTGAACCACATGTGTAGAAATCTGAACATTTCAATTCTACATGAAGTTTGTGCTGATGATGTCGTTCAGAAGAACGATACAGAGTTTCATAATCAATCATACTGAGGACCAATAAAGACTCAGAGTAGATACAGGCTTGCTAGTACTTGTTGATGTGTTATTAGTTTAGTAGAGGGACAGAATCATATAAGTCGGTATTCTGATTGGTGACTTCATCACATGATAATAGATAGAGCCATAAATTGTAACAGTTTTGTATTGCATCATTTTGTTGTCATATAGATACTTCTTCATTCTTCGAATTCTGTTGTTATTCCATTGCTTCACTGTTTCCCTTTACCGATCTCTTCCATTTAATCTTCTGACAGGTTTTACATTTCGGATTGCGGCTACATACTACTTATACCTTTCAATATAAGTAGTCTATATCATAGTCATATAATTATCTAATTTCTTTCGTTACTTTTCATCATAACTATGTAAAAAGTGGAAAATTCTGTTTTTCTTTCATCATTAATTATTCATTGTTATAAGTTCTAATTGGGCGTGATTGACTATCTCAATTACAAGATAAGATGATTTACCCTTGAAAAGCTTATAATCACGCATAAACAGTGTAAACATAGTAACCAGACAAACTTCATCAGTGTTTTTTTATCACATGATAACCCGAAAACTAATAAGAAAATAATAGTTTAAGGAGGCTTGACGTTGGTGTATTGGTCATTGGCATATAGACATTCATATAGAAGGCTGTGGAGATTACTGAATCTGTGGTTTTGTATTTATTAATTAATTTTCACTTGAACACATAGGTATTGGTATAAAAGGGGCACCGAATAGATATGCACTACACAAGTCACTTGGTTTGTGTGTGGCTTATGATACTGATAGGGAGCTCAAACCGAAGTAGGTGGTTTTTTTAGAGAGCCACACCCAGAGCCTTCGACTTAAAGGTCTGATTCACAAGACAGTGGAGCAGCGTAAGAAGATGCAGTCCCATAGTAGCCGGCAATCAATGATTGGTTCAGGATACTAGAGTCCATGTATACCATTAGTTTGGAATGATGGTTTTCCAACTCCCCTATGTGGATACTCCATATCCACCAACCCAATTACAACGCCGAACATTCTCTTTTCGTCCTCTCAATTTCGTAAACAATAGTAATGCCGTGAGAAGGCAGTGAGTAGGAATTCACTGGCAGTGGCTGTATACGTATGTCCATATGAAAGTATTTCGGTAAAGAGAGCTGACTCTCCTCACCCTCGGCCGTTCCAGTACATTTGGGAGCAGTTTTTTTTAATCATGAATTGATTTAAGTTAGATATCCATTAAAAACCAGAAGGCATTTGACAACTATTTCGTCATAGAATTGGATTTTTTAAGGTAGTTTTCAACTTCTGTTTTAACGGGAGATTGAACTGAACACCTTCAGGGTATTTAGCAAGTATTTGACGTTCAGACTGTTGAGTTTATCTCTGTTGGTTTACAATTTACAGTATTGCAAAACCTTCGTTCACACGTGCTACTACAATTAATGAAGGTATAAAATATACTAGATTGAGGTGTCTTTTTGTTTGAAGGAAATGTGTTTTATTATTAATATAGGCATCTAAAATGCATGGAATGGATCTAGCATTTGAAATCTAAGATGCTTTTGTATTGTTATTTGAAACTTGTCAGTTGAATGTACCTGCATACCAAAGTTGATATTCACTCTGGAACTTGAATCTAGTACCGTTCGTTTCAAATACCACTAAGTTATCCACTTAGCTAATAAGCTTCAATAACCACTCACTTGCAAAGTAATTGGAAAAAAACATTTTCGTACACTTTTTTTTTCTTTCTGTATTTTCATTAGGAACTGATGAACATCGTATCATTAATGTTTTGGGTTATCGTAATTCTATTCAACGAATTCAAATACGAGAAACGTTTAAAGCAATGTATGGAAAGGTAAATTGATAGTAATCATAATTGTGTGTTACTTACTTACTTACGTCTGTTACTCCTTATGGAGGAGCATAGTCCAACCACCATCACTCTCCATCGAACCCTGTCTTGCCCAATCCTTTCCAGTTGTCATTCATCTTTTTCATTTCTGCTTCTATTTCCCGACGTAATGTGCCATTTGACCTTCGTCTTTTCCGCTTCCCTTCAAGATTCCAAGTCAGGGCTTACCTTGTGATTCAGTTCGGTGATTTCTGTATTGTATGTCCTATCCACTTCCAACGTCTGGCCAGTGGTCTATGTAATAAGACCGAAAGTCCTGAGATTGATTCCCAGATAAAGGATTGTGAATGCGTAATCCTGAGCAGTTTCATACTAACATGAAACGATCGTTTAGTGCTTTCAAGTACTCAGTGGTGATTTAGGTCTTAATTCCAATATCAAATTGTGATTGTATGTTTGAAAAATTCTTGATCAACTGAAATTTGTTCAACATGATAGTATTCACTAGTTGATTCATAGTTCAAGTAAAACTTGAAACCAATTACAAGAAGCTAATAAATAACAACAAAGTAAATGATCATATATAGAGGTAGGATTACCAAAATATCAGAAAGGGTTTTTGTGGATGTTATAGTGATTTTAATGGTTGAGATCATGAGTCTATTGAAGCTAGACCATCATGGAAAACCTGGAAGCATTGGACGGCCATTTCATCCTAGTATGGGATTCTTCAACAGTGCGCATCGACAGTTCCGACGCCGTGAACAGTAGATTCCGATCGTATCGAGTGTGAGACAGTTATCCATCTGAGGCAATGAATGAAGAGTTGCTCAAGACCATGGATCGACTGATGTTTAGTGGTCTAAAGATTTAAGCATTTGCACGCGTCACAGAAGGTCCTGAGTTCGAGTCCCGCGAAACTCACGTCCTACATCTCAATACTGACCATTATTCAACTTTAATAAAAAAATATGAAGCTTAGTATAAGGGTTTCTTAACGAATGGATTCAATTCTATTATAGCGTAGAAATTTATCTCAACTATAAAAGCAACTTATAGGCATTTTCATAGTTAAATTCAAAAGTCAATCTAAGTCACATCACTACTGAAAAGTTGACATCACTGAATGACTATTTCGTTCTAATATGAAACTCCAGTAATTCCAAACGTTCATTGATGATCTTACTTTAAATTGACTTGTCAATTCAATTGTGAAAATACTATAATCTTTACAAAACTAATCTCTTCTTGTAGTGAGACTATAATTAAGTAACCTTTAGAGTGTTCGCCTAGTAAATAGGACCAAATGAGGGTTATAAACCAGTATGAGTTTTATAACTTGTGACCGCCGATTGGAGAGCAGTGGATTATCGATCGGATCAAAGACGCGTAAAACACGTGCGAACAACCTAGAGTTCTAATTGGTTCTGCTTCCTGCCTAGCCCAACCAGTTAAGTCCAGAACACCAGTCTCAGTTTCTGCAATATGAATAGTTAAGTTATTTAACAATTATACGATAAAAATATACGTTTAGTATTGATCGATAAAAGGATCCTCAAATTACCATTCATTATCTTTATCGGGACCTAACAATGAGAAACTAGAATTATGATTTACAGTTGATGGTTAAGCTTAGGAATTAGATTTTTTTGAGGGGGGGGAGTTACATCACGAACTGACATTAACTATAATACCAAAATGCTATTAAACCGAATGAATTACGCGCCAAAATCCAACACCTGTTTTCTTAAATCTGATTGGTTCTTTCATAAATTATAGTTTCGCGCTTCTTATCGTTTTAACAAAAATAATTCAATGTTTCAATTGTTTATATAAAACATTTAATAATTATATTTTTCAATTTTTTTTGTTTTAAAATAGGATTTAATAGATGAATTGTCTAGTGAAACAAGCGGTCATTTTAAAAAACTACTTAAAATGTTATTAACTGATATAGATATAGTGAATGCACGTGCATTATATAAAGCAATTAATGGTGCAGGTACTGATGAAGAAACAATTATTGAAGTTTTATGTACATCAACTAATACTGAAATTGAAAATATTAAACAAGCTTATCAATATGGTAAGTAGATTTAAGTAGTCTGTTTAATTAAGATAGTAAAAAAATATGTATTATAATAACGTTGACGTTTGACATAAAAACTGTTGGATACCAACTGGCTCAGTAGTCTAGAGGTTCAATGTTCGCATGCAAGACCGATAGGTTCTGGGTTCGAATCTAGTGAGGTAGGATCGTGGATGTGCATTGTTGAAGAGTGCCACAATTGGATGGAACGGTCATCCATAACTTCTAAGTTTCGAATGGTAGTCTAATAACAATTGGTTCATGATCTCAATTATAAAGGTTTTGTTGGAGTATTCTCAATTGTATCTCTCATCAAAATCTTCAAATGCTTAGAAATGTCAAGGAATGTTTTATCCAGGTAACGTTGAATAGAAATCTTAGCAGAAATATCTAAGAAATGCAGAATCATATCTTTTGTGTTCAAATTTTCATGTAGATTTAGGCAATGGTTATTAGCAAGTGGCTAGGAAATCACTTTTGAAGTACATTAATCCTACACCTTAATAATACAATATTCTCAACTTGTTTTCCATCCTTCTAAGCATACTTGAGAGTTATCAAAATTTAGACTCTTTAGATATCTTGCCACTGTTTTAAGCTTCATACCTACTGGAATCTTTTCAATTGATAGAGTTTTATTCTCTCACCTGGATAGTTTGGTCATGGAGCTTTCATCGTTCTTTTGAACGATCTCATCAATAAAAATTTCTGATAGAACTTCTACCATCCATCTCAGAAAACAAAACTTCATCAAAATCATCCACTTGAGTTACAAGTCTTCTTTATCATCTCAAAATCTTTTCAATTATTTCCTAATATCATATAGTTCATTAGAGTTGGAAGTTACATGACTAAAATTAAGTATTTGAAACAACAGCGATTTGTCTTAGAATGATAATTGGATACATTGTATCAATCATTAGTTCCTAAATAATAAACGCACATCACTGACCAAGAAATAACTCTCACGTCTAACAGATGAAGATATGCGTCATTGATGGATTAGTTCTTTGAGGGATATATATATATATATATATATATATATTGGTAGCTGACATCATGAGTCAGTTGAAGATAGACCATCATGGAAGACCTGGAAGCACTGGATGACCGCTTCATCCGACTGTGGGACTCCTCAGCAGTGTGCATCCACGATCCTACCTCGCGAGATTCGAACCCAGGACCTATCAGTCTCGCGCGCGAGCGCTTAGCCATTAGACCACTGAGCTGGTCGTCATCGAACGGTGTTAATGTCTAACTTCAACTTATCCATAAAATTGAGCGACACGTACACCATTGTCTTCAGTGAGTTACTATCTCACAACAGACCCAGTTGAAATCCACAAAACCCCTTCTGATATATATATATATATATATTTATACTTCCCACTTTCAGTCTTTTCAATTAAGCAGTCAGTCGGATTCGTGTACTGAGAGATTACTTATCAGTATCAAACTCAAGGACTACAAATCATAGTAATAACTCTTTCTGTGTTCTAAGTGTTCAGTGTTGAAGTTCGAATATTGTTTTTTGTTAGATCAAGATTATTTAGACTTTCTTGACATCCAGTGACGTTTTCTTCTTTGATAAACTCTGACGTCCATATATAGCTGGAGTACAATGATTGTTATTAATACATGGCTAGGACGTCTTCTGTTTGTTGATATATTCAACATTAGATTGATCAATTTGTCAGTTTAAAAGTCTTCTTGAATTGAGACTATTATCTACCTTAAATAGTCCGGTATTTTAAGCAATGAATATTAATTTTGCTGATCAATGAAAGTGTTGAGGTGATCCAGAAAACTTGAAAAAATATCCTGGAAAGGATTCTGAAAACACTGAGAAGCATCTTATTCAATCAATGTTTACTAGAACTTTTGTCGGAAACATTTAGAAAGTGAAAAGTCACGTATCAAGTTTTTTGATTGCGTGTTTACTTATATGCTACTATGTTTAGTAGCATTCCAGAATTTTCGGGAAACCTGAAGACATCTAAAATACTAAAAAAACATCAGATTTTCTGTACATAAATGAACCTTTGGAGTCAAGTATTTTCTTCCATATTTCCCACCTTTTCTCTTGTGTTCACGTTGCTGGGTAGATTTAACATATGGGGGGTGGGTTACTAGAAGAACTTAGGAAACCCAATCTACGCATTCAATAACAAAACGTGTTATATATTCATGCATGAAAATGTATATTTAGCCTGACGGTTACTAGAAGAGTCTAGGAACGGAATCTAGCGTTCAATTAGCAAGATGTATCAGAAATACAACAACTGGATGGGAACACACTTAACTGATAAATTCTAAAAGTGCGGTAAAACATTTATCTTGAATGACGTTTTTTTTGCATCTGATTTTTTTCAGTCCTAAAGGCTTATGGAGTCAGCGGTAAGTCAAATTGTATAATTAACATAACACTGAATGTTTCCATTGTCAATAATGAATTGATTAGAAAAGATTAAGTATCCATGTCAATGATAACACTGATTAGTAGTAGTCTTAACAACAGTTGATAACTATGTAACACTGCACAGTTCTTTTGCTTGAATATGTATTTTCATAGCTGAAGTTAAGAGTCTATCTAAGCTAGACCACCAGTGGAGCACTGATGAGACTCCTCAGCGGTGCGCATCCACGATACTGCGTGAACGTTTAACCTTTAAATCGCTGAACCGGCATTTAATGTTATTAATATCTAACTTCAATCGATTAAAGAACTTGCACATCCCTTCATCCATTGTCTGTGATGAATGACTCTCTCACACCCTACACGGATTGGACTCGACTGATCACGGCTTCTTACTAGAACTCCAGTATATCCATCTTGAATTTAGTCACTAGTGAGCACATGAATATTGTGAGAATGGGGATTTGTGAAGATTGTAGCAATTTTAACAGTTGAATTCACGAGTTGATATAAACTATACCACCATTGGAAACCTGGAAGCACTGGACCTCGAATTTGTCTTAGTATGGGACTCCTCAGCAGTGCGCTTTAATATGTGACTAACTGCAATATCTCATTAAGGCTCAAACTCACTACTTCTGAGCGCAAACCAGTTCGTGATTACAACCTTGAGTATATATATACATAGTTGCTATAAGGCCAATTAAAATACGTTCAAACTGCTTGTTAAGAATTAATGATAATGATAACTAATGATGATAAAAACATGTACAAAATCATTTCCTGAAGCTCGAGAGGGAACTCATAACAGGTGGACGTTGCCCATTCTGTGAGTAAAACAATGCTCGTTAATGACGCTTGAAAATAATCGCTCAATATATAACGAATTGATGGAAGTTAAAAGTATATTCTCACAAGAGACTGACTAATTGCAGTCCTAAAGAACAATGGGAAGATACAAGAAAACCACAGCAAGTGAAGTTAGAAACGACCGTCCAGTGCTTCCAGGTTTATCATGATGGTCTAGCTTCAATTGACTCAAGATCTCAACCATTGAAATTAGAGGTATATGTTTAAAAAAACACAGCTAAGTGATAGACCGTTTGAATACACTGAGTATTACCTGAACTTCATTCGTATTTACTATTGAGTAGTCTTACGCTAGTAAGAAGCAAATGTACAATCTTACCTATTTATCAATGGCACTTGTACTGAAGTCAATTCGTGAAGAATACAACCTACAAATTGAAACTCATTATTATCTTGGTTTTTCTGTTTTATGGATATGTTACTGAATAATAGTAAGTAGTTTGACACATATTCAGTCCTAATAGAAAAACGAACAGAAGGAGATGATCTCATTGTTTTATCAAAATCTATAAAAGAAACTAATTGGTTTACATAGTTGGTCAATTATTCACTAGTTAAAGTGTTAGGCTTTATGAATTATGTGGCTTGAAGGAAATCTTCCTCTTTTCATTGTGCTCTTGATGCTACGACTGATACCCGGGCACCTGTCGACTCATAGTTGATGAGCCTTAACTACCTATTTTGTTCCTTTAAGTAAACCTGTTTTTGGATAACGTCTGGTTCAGAGTTCTTATTTAAAACCCATCTATAAAGTTCAAATTTTTGTGCTGATATATCAGTTGATGTTTCATAGTTTTAAGGTCCTCATCAGTAACCACACTAAGGTCTGTTTTCACTGAAAGTTATTTACAGTAGGGAATGGATAAGGGTCACTCGATATCGTGAATAAGTTGAAGTTATATATAAATACTCTTGGATACCGGCCCAGTGGTCTAGAGGTTAAATGTTCACACGAGACCAAGAGTCCTTCCTTTGATTGCCACGTACGGGATAGTGGATGCTCACTGCTTCAAAGATCCCATCCTAGGATGGAACGGGAGTCCAGTGCTTTTAAGCTCTCATTAAGGATCTAGTTAAATTACTGAATAACCTAGTCTGTTGTGAAGATTAATAGACATTGATATTTGTTTCAACATAATTATACTATATATTTTCAATAGTTGAGATCATGAGTCGATTGAAGCTAAACCACCACGGAAAACCTTGAAGCACTGAACGGCCGTTTCTTCCTATTATAGGACTCCTCAGCAGCGCTTCCAAGTTTTCCATGATTGTCTAACTTCAACTGACTCATAATCTCAACTATTGAAATTACTACAATCTCCACAAAACCCCTTTCTTATACTATGTATTGTTGTTATAACAATATTCTGATGACCTTTTCAATAATAAAAATGAAATTATATTTTTTAAAATAGATCCTAGAAGAACTTTAGAAAGTGATGTTCAAAATGATTTAAGTGGACATTTTCAAAATCTAGTCGTTGCATTACTTCAAGCTAGTCGTGATGAAATTTCATATGAAGATGTTGAAAAAATTAGTACAAAAGGATTGAAAAGTGTAGTGAATATGAATCAAGTTGAACAAGATGTTGAAACATTATGGGATGCTGGTGAAGCGTAAGTAGATATTTCTTTAAAATTGATTAAGATCATGAATGAATCAATGTTAGACCATCATTGAGAGAACCTGGAAGCATTGAACGAATGTTTCGTCTCAGTATAGGATTCCTCGGTAGTAAACATTCACGTTCAGTGCTTACAGGTTTATAATAATGATCTTATATTGATCCATTCATGATCTCAATCAATAAAAAGTTTGTTTTCATTTGTGATAGTTGATTCTTAATCAAAGAAATGATTGAAATGTAAATCAACATTTTAGTTAACGGATTAGTTGAAATAATCTTATTGGCTAACCATTTCTTATTGAACCAATCAGCACAAACCTATTCATTATGTTATAAATGTAGTTTTCAATTACTTGGAAATGTATATAATGATTGATATTGCTGTAAATGTTAATTGTTCTCAGTCATAGACCAATTTTAATCTACCAATATCATGGGGTTTATTTAGGCATAAAGTTCTTGAGGTATCAATAATTTATAGGTTTCCGTTTGGATTACTATATCACATTCCACTCTTACTTACTAACGCCTGTTACTACCAGTGGAGCATTGGTCGCCGATCAGCATTCTCAAACTCACTCTGTTCTAGGCCTTCCTTTTTAGTTCTATCCAATTGTTGTTCATTCTTCTCATGTCTGTGTCCATTTCTCGGCGTAACGTGTTCTTTGGTCTTCCTCTGTCCCTTTGGCTTTGAGGATTCAAAGTGAGGACATGCCTCGTGAGGTAGTTGAGTGATTTCCTCAATGTGTATTCTATCCACTTCCAACACTTCTTCATGATTTCTGACTCCATCGGAATCTGGTTTGTTCTCTCACACAGTAGGTTGTTGCCGATATTGTCTGACCAACGGATCCGAAGTATCAAGAATATTACGAATAATGGATGAATTTAAGACGTCAACTTAGATGTAGGTTTCATCGGGATCACAAACATTTGTTACGTGAATAAATATTGGAAATCTAAAGAGTTTGAATGTCCACTTCTCCCTAACATGGGACTCCACATCAGTGTCTATCTACAACATCCTAACTGAGAATCAAGTCGAGGATATTCCGTTTCACCAGCAAACGCTTAAATGTCACAACTATCCTTGCTTACCTGATAGTTAGGGAATATCTCGGTGATAAGTCCCAATCAATTTATCAAAAGAATGAAGATGTATCACTAGAACTTAGGAAATTTTTCTTCATAGTGGCTAGCAGGATACACGTTTCGTCCTATTTGAAACTCGTCAGCTGAATATGACTTCATCCTATAGTTGAATAGGTACTTCCAACTACTTACCCAACCTTTTAGTACACTAACTGAAATTTGATAGCATGTTAATGTTAGGTTTGAAGCTATCACAAGTTCATTTAATCTGCGAACGAGAACAAGACTCGGTGACCAACACCAGTAAGCTAGCTATTTGATGCGTTCCAGCTCCGCTAACTAGAGGGAGAAGTCCAAGCCACGAATGGGAAGTATATTCTGCAAATCAGCCAGAAACGAGCGATAACAACAAACACAATTCAAAACGTATATATACAGTGCAAAACCGTCCTTGGGGAGAGTTACCAAATAGCATATTAGAAGATGCATTGGACCAATAGCATTCAAGATATTTCTCAAGTGGGAAATATGACATGAAGATGGCAAGAGCGCCTTTGGCGCGAAATCAAAGAAATTCAAAATTCTCTAAATAAAATGACAAAATTAGGTCCTTTCGTAAGTGAGTTCTGGGGATCTAATGTCCCCAACAGTTAAATCTCATTACGTTTATTTATTGTATGAATGGACAAAGTAAAGGTGTTAGTGACTTAATTTAACCATAAAATGTAATAATGAGAGCACTTTTTCTTCATAGGCAAATAGTTAAATTCTCAATTTATGTATTTTCTTAAATATCAGTTGTGTTTTTTATTGATTCCTGTAGACATCTAGGAACTGATGAATCTGCTATCATTCGAATTGTAACCGGTCGAAATGTTTGGCATTTACAAGAGGTTGCTCGTCTGTTTGAAAAGGTTTGTCTTATCTTTATGCAACATTCTGTATATATATGTATTCACTTACGTCGAAACTTCACTCGTATTTATATGATAATGGAAGTAGTGTCTGTCGTCTTTGAGCTGTGAATCTTTCTGAGTAGTGTCATCAATGTGTATCTTAAAGAAAAGTGAACTATTAGGATTTCATCAGAATTGACTAATAGTCTGTTTTTTTGCCTTAGAATTTGTTTGACTGTTATCTACTAACTGTATTATCATAGTACGAAACGACCGTCCAATGCTTTTAGGTTTTCCATAATATTCTAGCTTCAATGAACTCATGAATTCAACTATTAAAATACATATGTGTTACATAAATCATTCAATTTGTGTAATGGGCTTGAATACTGACCGGTTACTGAAACCAAATCAGGTTTTGTAGATGAAAAGTTATTGTATATTAATTGAATATTGAAAAAAAAGTTCTGCTACAAATTCATAAGGATCTCAACAGTTGAGATCATGAGTCAATTGAAGCTAGACCACCGTGGAAAACCTGGAAGCACTGGACGGCCGTCTCGTCCTACTGCGGGACTCCTCAGCAGTGCGCACCCACGACCCCGCCTCGCGAGATTCAAACCCAGAACGTGTCAGTCTCGCGCCAGGCGCTTAACCAACTAGACCACTGAGCTGGTCGGCATCCAACGGTGTTAATGTCTAACTCCAACTAATCTACGAAAATGAGCGATACATCCACCATTATCATCAGTGAGTTACTACCTCACAACTGACCCGGTTGAACTCCACTGGTCACTGTTTCTCAATAGAACTCCAGGATATATCTCTTGAAGCCAGCCAATAGTGAGCATATGTTGATTAGTATCATAAAGGGTTTTGTGGAGATTGTAGTGATTTCAACAGTTCAGATCATGAGTCAATTGAAACTAGACCACCATTGAAAACCTGGATCTATTTTGTCTTTAATAATATTCAGTTAATATTTCGCTTTTCATTTTATTCATAGAAATATGATAAAACATTGGTTGATTCATTAGCGTCTGAAACATCTGGAGATTTTGAAAGTGCTCTTTTATTAACCTGTAAGATAATCATTATAATATCTATTGTTTATTTCAATGAATTTATCCAATCCATTCATTTGTAACAGTAATTCATAACAAACAGAGATGATGTTGGCTAACAGTGGAATCCAAGATGTGCGTTTCATCCTATTTGAAACTCATCGACTAGATATATTTGAATCCTATAGTTTATGTTTACTTCAGGACTTAAATCCAGTACCTTGCTTTCCAGACACCATCACGTTATCCACTTAGCTACTGAATCTAGATAGTCACTAGCTTATATAGTGATGTGAAGTTGAATTCATCGTTGTATTGGTTGTTTAAATCTTCTCATTGATGTTTAAGACTGCAATTGATTAGTCTCTTATTAGCATATTTGCATTTTGTGCGAATTACCTCGATATTACCTTAATTCACAAGCATTATGAGCAGAGATGGATAGTGGCTGACAGTGTAATCCAGGACTCATGTTTCGTTCTTTTTGGGACTCGTCAACTGAGTGTGCCTCCATCTCAGAGTTGATGTTCATCCAGTGTTCGATTCAAACACTATCGCGTTATCCACTTACATAATGAGTTCAGGTAGCCATTTGTTTGTACAATGTGGTGAAGTTCAAATTCACTTGGTATTGTTTACTTGTATCTTCCCACTGTTATGCAGGAGTTTAATTGATCAGTCTCTTGTTGGTATATGTATATCCTGTGCCGACTGCCTCGATATTGCCCTACATCACAACGTTTATAAACAAAGATGGATAGTGTTAAGCAGTTAAAACCATGAGTCTTCTACTTTAATCACCTCAAAGAGCAGTTTCCATATCCAGTTAACAATTTATACTGTCCATAAAACACCCAGGTTGAAATAGGTGATTTTTTTAGTGAATCATTCTTGTCATCATTTAGCATTGAGGTTTAATTCACAAAATTGTTTGATCACTTCAGGAGATTCACTCCAAAGATAACCAGTCACGAAACTTTATTCCTATCCCATTCGTTCACCTGAATCCTGGAGCCTATTTGTGCGAACTATGGATAGTCCAACTTCTTTTAGATAAACCCTCACACGATCAACCAAATACCTCTGCTACATAAAAGGAGTGAGTAGAGGTTCCTGCTAGCGACTATAAACTTGTAACCACAGAAGAACATTTCAAATGGGACAAATCTCTCCACTCTCTCTCTTTCTCTCTGTATTCTAGGGATCATTGAAGCCAAGAGAAATTAGACAATGGTTCAAGGCTCTTCAAGATATTCAGTTATACTTATTCACCTACTTAGCTAACGTTAAAGAATTCATATCGTCAAATATTAACTTAATGATTGAATTGAGACATCCTTATCCATTAATGTTGACAGATATAAGTAGTATGTAACACCAATCGGAAATAGAAAACCTGACATCAGAACTCTAAGATGATTGAGTTAAAGAAACGCAGAACAGGGAAGTAGAGAGGGATTGTGTAGTGAAATAATCATATAGAATGTGATGGACAGTTGAGGGAAGATTTGCAAATAAAGTATTTAGTGTATAGTTTTCATATTTTACCAAGATATTCTGTAATTTTGTGTTACACTGTAAATTGGTTTCCTCTTTCCCCTACCTCTCTGTATTGTCGTTCATTACACTAGTAAGGTGATACATACGTGATAGATTGATCTGTGGTTGAGTATCTACTATTGAATAAGTAGATCATATATACAATAGAAATCGTTCATTATTTGTTCCGTGCTGACTAGCTTTCAATCATACTTTTATTATTGTCTTTGTCAATTGTTCATTTACTTCTTTAATATTTCTTTTGAATATATAGTAAATACTTGTTTAAATCGTCCAAAAGCTTATTCTGATTTATTGCTGAAAGCAATGAAAGGTGCCGGTACCGATGATTGTACACTAATGCGTATTATTGTGACAAGAAGTGAGGTAAGTATTAAAGGTTTAATGCATTAAATATAACCTTGTATGTGTTGTGATGGACAAAGTTCGAATCTGTTACTGATACACTATGTGCTCTGTGCTAACTCGCTCAACTGACTAATTGATTGAGAACACAAGTGTGAGCGGGAAAGTATATTGGGCTACCGAATAAAATGCACAAATACTCATATACATACAACTCTACCCCTCAGAAAATCGATCTATTTCTTAGTCAGTAACATTCATTTGTCCTTCAGGTTACTTCTCATCGCCATCGAATGAGCCTCTCATTTGGCTACTTCTGATTGACTCACCATACCAGTGTGTTGTTGAACTACAAAAAACGCCCTGGGTTCGAATCCTGTAAGCGGAATCGTGGATGCGCACTACTGATGAGTCCTACAGTAAAACGAAACGACCTTCAAGTACTTCCGAGTTTTCACTGGTGGTTTAACATCAATCAGTTCATGATCTCAATCAAAAAGAAAAAAATTATATTAAACACACTAGACTCCCACATAACCTATTCATAAACGAGCATAGACTGAAAGGTCAACAACACAATGCGTCTTTACTCACATCACTCTTCACAGACTGTTATAGATATAGAATTCAACTGTAAAGATGAATCAAGAGAGCTAAAACATTTCAAGGAAATTCCTAAAAACCTGACATATAGGTTAACCTATAGTCAATAGACATTTCGATAGAGATTCATTTCATCGTATCGTATCATTGTTGGGGTAATACCATTTCTAATGAGATTTAGTACAAGAGTAAAGATGTAAGGCGATAAAGAAAGTCGGCAAGATTATCATTCACAAACAAAATAATCTAAAGTAATTCATACAGGATTTGCGGGCAAATTTAAAGCGTTCACTTTTGTCAGACGTATTTGCTAAGAATCTTATTTAAAGTGACAATATAAGCCATAGAAACACTATATTTAGATCTTTCTCCTATATATTACCACCTTTGACCTAACCACTCCTATGAATCCGGTGTCCATCTTGCTGTGCTAGTGCGGTATGGCAACCTGGACCGATGCATATATGTGCCTGGTCCTACGTTGTAGCTGACTGACTGACTGATATTTAGATCATACAACAAAACACCATTGAATACACGGTTGAACCATATTAGATGTCTATCCATGTGATAAAGTGATATGTATTAAACTCTTCAAAAAATCAATGTATACACTTCAAATAAAAAGGTAAGCGTACTTCAAAGGTTTCTAAAGAATATAATATTGGCCAAACGGACAAGAAGAACCCAATCAACCTTTAAAATCTAATCATTCAGACGAATCTGCCTACTCTGTGTTACTTCCTTATTTATTTATTCATTTATTTAAACACATAAACATTTGTATAAGGAAGCACCAAATAGATATGCGCCACACAAGTTACTTGATTTATATGTGAGCTGGGATACTGCTCGTTTGTCCGGACAGAAACAGGTGGTTTTCTTACTGGACCACACCCGGAGCCTTTAACCTAAAGGTCTGATCCACAAGGCGGAGCATCGTAAGGAGATGCAGTTCCATAGTAGCCGCTAACCAACAATTGGTTCGTACTCCATTTGTTCCTTCAGGATGCTGGAGCCTATGTGCACCATTGGATTGGAATGAGGGTTTTCCAACTCCCCTAGGTGGACTCTCCATATCCACCGAACCCGGTTAAAGCGCCAGACATTCACTTTTCATCCTCTCAATTTCGTAAACAACAGTAATGCTTTGAGAAGGCAGTGAGTAGGACTTCACTCTCAGTGGTCGTACACGCGTGATCACTTGAGAGCATTTGAGAGGGATAGTTGACTCTCCCCACTCTCAGCTGTACAAGGGCATGCTTACAAGTTTCTTAGACGACAGAAGCTTTCAATAACCAAGTCGAATTACGTAACTTGAGTCTTAAAATCAATTCGAATATTATTGTAATGTATGTTTTGAATAGTTCATTTAATTGTAAGTTAATTGCTCCTATCCTATAGTTGATTATCTATTTAGAATAAATAGCTTATAATGATCTGAACATGATAAAACTTCTTCTAGCTTATTACAATACAAATCGTTGTTAATGAACGAATATGGGAATAATTATACACAAAACTAATTGTTTATATAGATACACACAGATAAATAAACATTTTCAGAAGAAGTATTGTGAAGATTTTAGAAATTTCAATAGCTGAACTATGGAAATAGTTCAACTATTGAATCGTGGATGCTCACTGCTAAGGAGTCCCATACTGGGACGAAACGGCCATCCAGTGCTTTCAGGTTTTCCATGATGATCTAGCTTTAATTGACTCATGATTTCAACTATTGAAATAAACATTCTTTGAGTCAACCTTGAATTTATTTAACTTAACGCTGATTGGTCAAATCTACTTGTCATATTTAGCCAATAGTATTACAGTCGTAAGGTCAAACAGTTATATATAACTAAATAGCTTTGAGTTTTATATCTTTAATCAACCTCTTATTTCTAGTACATTTGTTTGTTTGTTTCTTTGCCTAATTTAGTTTGATTTAGGAAGTATTTGTTCACAATTTCATAATGATCAAGGTAGTTCACTTGAAGATTGGATACGTAGTGAAACATCTGGTGATTATAGACGACTTCTATTAGCATTACTTGGTGCTGATTGGCAATAGATATGAATTATATAAATCTTTATTAAAACAAAACAAAATTAATTAAACATAATTAATTTTGTTTAAATAAGTTATTAACAGATTCAATGTTCAAGAAATGCTTTGTCATTTGTTCATGTAATCGATTTTGTTGTTGTTGTTGCTATGTTTGAATTGTTTCATTTAATGCTATTTATTTCATCCTTTCATAATTATCCTCTTCATGAGTACTTTTAAATATAACATTTAATTGATAAGTACTTCATTGACAAGAGATTGGATTCATGTTTATGGTAGTTAAAGGGTTAGATGGCTGAAATTCAAGTGTTAAACAGGGATCTATTGATTATTGGTAAATTTTCTGAGGAGTCTCATACTTGAAAGAAACGGTCGTTTAGTGCTTCCAGATTTTCAGTGGTGGTCTAACGGTGATCCATAGGATAGGACTCCTCAGTAGTGAGTATTTATGATCCCCCATGAGGTACTCGAAACCAAGGTCTAAAGTGATGCGAGCGAACGTTTAACCTCTAGATAATTGACCTGGAACCCGATGTTATTAATGTTTAACTTCAATCAATCCATGATCTTGCACAACTCTTCTTCTATTATTTGAGGTGGATAACTCTCCCACAATCGACACAGATTAGATTCCACTGATCACAGCTTCCCACTAGAACTCTAGTAAATCCATCTTGAAGTTGGTCACTAATGAGTACATGATTATTGTGACAATGAGGATTTGTGTAAATTGTATTATTTTTAACAGTTGAATTCATAAGATATCTTTTAAGCATATGCTAGGTCTGAAGCTAACACAAGTTCACTTAATCTGCGAACGAGAACAAGACTCGGTGACCAATACCAGTAAGCTAGCTATTTGATGCGTCCCAGCTCCGCTAACTAGAGGGAGAAGTCCAAGCTACGAATGGGAACTATATTCTGCAAATCAGCCAGAAACGAGCGATAACAACAAACACAATTCAAAAGGTATATATACAGTGCAAATCCGTCCTTGGGGAGAGTTACCAAATAGCATATTAGAAGATGCATTGGACCAATAGCATTTAAGATATTTCTCAAGTGGGAAATATGACATGAAGATGACAAGAGCGCCTTTGGCGCGAAAATAAATAAATTTAAAATTTTCCAAATAAAATGACAGAATTAAGTCCTTTCGTAAGTGAGTTCTGGGGACCTAACGTCCCCAACAGTATACCTTATTGTGCTGTTCTTCATTTGGAATTGAAGTCCTATACTAGAACGGAACAGTTATGCATTAGTTCCTAGTTGTCTAACTATTGTCGGTCTGTGATGTACATCATTGTCTTGTTTTATTTTACAGTTACGTTACACATTTAATACGCTCTAAATGTCAATATTGATTAAATGTTAAAAGAAAGATTTACTAATCAGTTGGTTAACTGCATGTAATGTACAAGAGAAAACCTTCAAACAATTTTGTACCATTTATTTAGGATCTATGCCGTGCATGTATGAGATTAGACGCATCAGGACTATGATTTTATAACGGGGTATTTTGATCCTATTGATGATGATAAATGAACTATAGGTCCTATTTACTTTATGCATACTCTGTTGACTATTCTAGTTAATAACAGCAGGAAATGAAAATTCGAATACTAATAGTGTTTTAAGTACGTGTTTATTTTCAGCATATATACGAACAGTAGATAAACGATGAGAATCTGGATAAATTACTTGATTCAGGAGCATATAAACTTGAAGACTGAAAGTTCTAGGTTCAATCTGTGTGAGCGGCGTCGTGGATGTGCATCACTAAGGAGTCCCATACTGTGAAGATACGACCGTCAATGACTTTCAGGTTTTCAACAGTGGTCTAACTTAAAGCGGTTCATGAATGAACCCTATACTTAGAATTTAGAGAACATTAAACGAGACTCAGCTAACAGAAGGGATGTACAAAATACAAATAAGTAGACATACATACTTGAATGTATCACACACAATAGTATACGGATAGTGATGAAAGGTCAACTGAACAAAACAATCAATAGAATAATGTCTGTTCAGAAGCTGAAATAAGCTCATGTAGGAATTACGATAAAGAGAATCTAATCATAATAATCATCGGCCAAATTATAATTCATGAATGAACCTTTGAATTTCAGAATACTAGGTCTTAGATTTGTGCGCAAAATTCATTTATCCACACAGTCAAATAACATTTTGGCATCATCGCTAATGTCAGTTCGTGATGAAAACCTTTACTAAAATGCATAATATTAAATTCTAGATTTAAAACAGTTTAAAACTATCTCATCCTAAAACGAAACATCATTTCTCATTCTCGACATCAAACAGGGGGTCGAACCTAAGGCTTGGGGTCTCACATTCGAACGTCTAACTTCTGAACCGCTGAGCAAAGACCCAATGGTTTATATATTTAAATTCAATTAGCTGGTAATATTTTGTAAGCATCTTCTATTACCTGATGTGGAAGAGTGTGTCGTGGCTTCTTACTGGAACTGAGGAAGATTCCTCTCACAAGTGAGCACATAATAATAATTATCAGTACCGGGGATTTGTTGAGATTTTTACATGTTATTGAGACCACGAATCAAACTAAGGTAGATTAACAT